AGAGAAGCGCGAAGCAGACACCGAGGGCCGGGGCGGGTGTGTGTGTGTGTGTGTGTGTGGCACAGCAGCTTTGAAAAACACAAGCCCCGTGCCCATCGATTTAGAGCGTGTCTTCCTCCTCTTACAGATGCTTCTTTGAAGGTTTGCGCTTTTTTAAGGCAAGACTGGTTTACAGGCCTACCAGAGAATTTCTAAGCAGCTGCTGGGACCAGGTTTGATCATCTGAGCCACACCGGGGTCTCACAAACCTGTCAACGACGTCTGTTTCCTCTTTTTCCCTTCCGAGCTCCTCTTCCCCCCAGTTTTCTTGGAAGTTTTGGGTTTCTCAGTCAGTGCCACCTGGGCAAAGCCGTGACTCTCGTCCTCCCTGCCCAGGGGCCAGTTTAAGTGCTGCAGTGGTCTCCGAGCATCTCCCACCATGCAGCTGTGGTAGAAGGCAGGCACCTCATGGCCCTTGAGCTCTTCCCACTGCAGAAGGCCCTCCGCCGGCGTGTCCTGGAGGAAATCGAAGTTCCACTTCTGCTGGGCCCCCTCGACGCTGTGGTGCAGCATGTGCTGGAAGTCCTGCCGCAGCTGCTCGTGGTCTACGGGGCCAAAGAGGTTCCTCCGGACGTGGGTCGTCTTCCCCAGCCTCCACTCCATCTTTTCTCCCCAGCGCTGCTCTCCGGAGAGTGTAGGCAGCAGTGACTCCCTGCCAAGGACAGAAAGACCATCAGCCTAGGCTTGTGAGCCATTGCGCGCTCAGTTTAGTGGGCACCGCGTGCTCTTTTAAGGGGAGTGTGGGAGACACTTTTGATCCTGCTAGAGGAGATCTTGGCTCATTTTGAAAGAACTTTATCCCAGTCTCCAGTCCAGAGTGAGAATTCCCATCTATAGGATGTGTCTACAGAAGGGTGGGGAAGGGTGAAAAGCCCTCACCTCTTTTGTGCACCCTTATTTCACTGCACACTGAGCGAGGGCTTGCCCTACAGGGGACAGAGACACACGAGGAAGTGGACAACGTCCCTTGAGGTAGTGCAGCAAAAGACAGAAAGCACTGAAGTGGCACCTGAGGAAAACAACCACGTGTATCACCTTAAACAAGGGAAAGGGCCCGAGAAAGAGAATTTCCAAGACAACGAAGGGTGATGGCAAACAGTAAAGTACAGAAGACATGTTTCATTTTACAGTGGGGGTGGTATCTTTTTCCTGACTACTCTTACCATTTGTTTTGCAGTGTCAGCCAAGCTGGAAGCTAAAGATGATCAGAGCCATCACCTGTTTCTTACCTGACATTTTCATTCCCTTTTCTTGAAGCAATTACCTGAGGAATGGTCCCAGTCACAGACA